TTCTTTTATTTCTTTATGTTCTTTTCTTGTGCAACTGGCTACAGCAGAAAGGTCAGAAAATCCGAAACAATTGTAAGCGAGGATTATTCTACGCCTTATTGGCTTTCTTTGCAGGGTAAAATAAATAGCATGTTTGAATGAGTTCAGCAAAGTTTAAATAAAGGACAGAGTGAATAATTATAAGCATCAGCCAGATGTCCTGGTCCCCACCCTTTTGCTGTTTTTGGTATAATTTGTTTTCTGGAAAAAAATTTTTTACAAGCACTTAAAGTGTTGTGAAAACTTAGAGTGTTGTGCAAAATCTTTGAAAAATAAACTATCTCCCTTTGTAAAATGTAATTCAATCCATTAAAGGACTAGAATCCTTCATTTTATACAAGTGAAAACTTTTTGTTCTTGGAATCGTAGAAGCTGACGGTAACTTTATACCTAGAATGAGACAAACTATTAAAGCAAAAAACCCCAATACCTCAATCAAGGAACTACAAAGGAGAAAATCATACTTCCACCCCACGCCAGCAAGGCAAGCTTCTGTATATAAATAGGGAGCAAATCCCACTCAGTAGCACTGATGAAGTTACCTGGTTGGATAAGGAAATGTCTGTGAGAAATCAGTCAAGCTCAGAGATCACCAAGGAGCTCACAATCTTTCTCATCCTCCTCTCTGCAAACCCCACTCCCTTCCAGCACTGATGATGTTACCTAGCTGGGTTATGAAACGTCTTCAAGAAAACCACAAAGAGCCCACAATTCTTCTTCTCCTCCTCCTCCTCCACAAACCCGACTCCCTTCTAGCACGGATTATGTTACCTAGTTGGGTCATGAAATGTCTGCAAGAAATAAGCAAGCTCAGACAGCACAAGGACCCCAGTCCTCGTCCTCCTCTTCCTCCTCCTCCCCCCACTCCACCTCCACAAACCCCCCCTCCCTTCTTGCCCTGGTGATGTTACCTAGTTGGGTCATGAAACGTCTGCAAGAAAAGCACCAAGCTCAGAGAGCACCAAGGGACTCCAGAGTTGGAGCCTATTCTCTTCTACTGAAACTGTGTTTTCATAAGTCCCTCAAGATATCAGATTTGCCTTTCCTTACCATGAATTTTTTTTTGGGGGGGGGAGCAGGTGCGAGAGAGCAGCCTCCCACTACTCCATAGCCACCAACTTCTGATTACAAAAAGCATAACAGTTCTTCCAAGAGCAGGAGCGGATTAGTTTTCTTTTCCTTCCCACCCTTGGAAATGTTCCAATTTCTCTGTTGACTAAATGCCAGGCTGTGTTTTTCTATTTTGTCTGCAGAGCTGGTACCCTTTGGCCAAACTTATCTCTCCCCTCCCTCTCTCCCTCTTTCTTTATCTCTCTCTCTCTCTCTCTCTCTCTTTCTCTCTCTCTCCCTCTCTCTTTCTCTCTCTTGCAACCCACTTTGCTCCAGGAAATGTCACCTAGCAGCTGCCTTCGAAAGCCTGATTTCTCCCACTGGTTTCACGGAGCCCATCAAATCGACGGAGTGGGCTGCTTGGATGAACAGAGAACAATGGCCTTGTTCCACCCAACAGCGTAGACAACTTCCTGAAGCCACAAGCCATAAACACACATAACTGTGCAACCTCTCACCTCCCTCAAATGAAGTTGAGGGATGGTCTCTCCTCCAGCCTCGCAATAACGTTGTAGGCTAGCTTAAGGTGGGGTCATCATCAACCCAGGAATCCAGGACAATCAGGATGAAGGAAGGTTTAAAATCTCATGCGTTCTCACCGGTGTATGAAAAAAAAAAGTGTCCCTTCAGAATAACAGAGTTGGAAGGGACCCTGGAGGTCTTCTAGTCCAACCCCCTGCTTAGGCAGGAAACGCCATACTAATTTAGACAAATGGTTGTCTAATCTCTTCTTGCAAACCTCCAGCGATGGAGCACCCACAACTTCTGGAGGCAAGTTGTTCCACTGATTAATTGTTCTAACTGTCAGGAAATTTCTCTTTAGTTCTAGGTTGCTTCTCTCCTTGATTAGTTTCCATCCTTTGCTTCTTGTCCTGCCTTCTGTACACTTCTGTACACTTTTCTAAGTGTGTTTGTTTATTCTTTCTACTGCAAAGGTACTGTTCTATTGATGTCAAGCTCCCAAAACCAAGAACCGCATGCAAAGTAACTTCTAAGCGGTTTCCTTTATGGTTCCTCACCTACAGACAGAATCTTGCCAGACTGAACAACTAAGAGCCATGGAATGCAGTACTGCAGGCTAACTCACTGCTCACTGCAGGAGTTCGATTCTGAGTGGCTCAAGGTTGACTCAGCCTTCCATCCTTCTGAGGTGGGTAAAATGTCGACCCAGATTGTTGGGGCCGAGAGGCTGACTCTGTAAACCGCTTAGAGAGGGCTGTGAAGCGGTATATACATCTAAGAGCGATTGCTATTGCTACTTGTATCCTTAAAGATATAACGAGGAGCTGACTTGACTTCCTTACACTGAAACAAACTATCTAAGCTTTGGTGTCTCTCGGTCTCTTGGAATGCAGACCTTCCATCCAGGTAATCCAGACTACATTCCACCACAATTAAGTGGTTCTATTGATTGACTGAGAGAAGGGCCATTCTCCAGAAACCTTCACCTGAAAATCCCACAGCAGGTCTCCAAATGTTCCAGTGGTTGATTTGGGAGGGCAGGCCATCTCCCCCAACAACCTGCTCTAAGATCTCCTCCAATGGCCTCCAAGCCTCCTTTAATAAGTATGTAGAATTGCTGGAGAGGTCTATACATTCCTAAATCATGTAGCAAGAGGTGGACTGGATCTTCAGACCAGCCACAACTTTCATTCAAATGCTACTTGCTGTTCTGAGGGTGTCCCTCATCTGTTCCTGCTACCCTTGTGATGGATGGCACAACCAGGATTAAAGCAACGGGGTGAACTCAAATCATAGAGCTGCTATACAGAATTGAGCATGGGATGGGTGGGATTAAACCTATCCATATCTCTCTCTCTCTCTCGTCATTTTTCCAACCAGGTATCCAACCAGGGCAACTTTAAGACTGGTGGACTTCAACTCCCAGAATCCTTCAGCCAGCATCATCCTCAAAGATCTTCTGAGTTGTGGTTGAAGGGCCCATGGAGATGAACCTACGTCATGCAATGTAGAGCACCACGCACTTCAAGGTGTCGTTTCTATCCTCAATTTGCTTGGAAATTTCCCCTCTGGGGAAACATCTTATCATGCGAGACGCAATTGCTCACGGAAACGATAAGGAGAATGGAATTGGAGCTATCAACCGAGATTCCTCGGAACAACAGGGGAGCTGTTAATTTCCCTCTGCCAAGTTTTGAATAGTGTGTGTGTACATGTGTATGCGTGTGTGTGTGTGTGTGTGTGTGCATCAGTCACACCATAAAAAAATCTTCCTTTGTACTTCTTAGGAAACACATTGTGGGCTTTTTGGACTGAGTCAGTTTCAAACAAAAATGGAAAGTCAGCACTATTATTTGGCTGAAATTCTTCTAATAAAATAATAATAATAACCCCATGTTTTGAATCTCGATGATAAACCAGTCTGTAGCTACCAGGAAATTACTCCCAGATCTGAATAGCTCCCAAATATCCCAACTGGGTTCAACATTATATTGATTGCTCAAGTTTAGCATTCCGGTCCCAAGGACTAGCCTAGAATGATAGTTTGCCCTGATTCATCCGTGATCCCAAACTTTTATTTGGTTTCTTCGCTTAAACCTTACAATAGGGTTTAGCTCCATTGTGAACACACATTTCTTCCATGACTTTGCAGCTGTGCCGTGAATTGCTCTCCGAAATAATTTATTTAAATATGCAATTCA